TGTTTCAGGGAAATTTTTGTTTTCAGATTAAAGTATAGCAATATTTTCTGCATTCCAATATATTTTCTACATGCAAGTGTGCCTTCTGTTTCAGATAGGGGTCAAATCATTTGAGGCCAAATGGGATAGCCAATGATTGGAGGGTAATATGAATTTTTATGTGCTGGTGTTGTGTACTCAGGTGAATAATATGTTTGTGATGTTACTCTGAGTGCATATCCACACCGGGCGAGCTTGAAAAATATGCCCGGCCACGGTGGGATATATATGCCCGTGGGAAAAATATGCCCGGCCACCGTGGCCGGGCATATTTTTCAAGCTCGCCCGGTGTGGATATGCACTCAGAGTAACATCACAAACATATGGAGGGTAATGTTAGCAAATTTGACTCCCTTACATAATGTCAAGTTATCACTGGTCAATTTTTAAATTTCGTACAATTTCACATCAGGGAGTTCATTGCCCCCCCCCCCCCCCCTCATTATCCAGAAGTGTGACTAAGCCTTTTCTAGTATCTATCCAGGTGTCCAATCTAAATCTCCACCACAACAGGATGTGTACCTGAGTGATGGTATAAAGGGAGGTGGGGTTAAAATTCTGATTTATCAACATATTATATATCTATAGCAGGAGGCTTAAACCAGAATTTCAGAATACAAAGCAACTTTTATGTCATTTTTGTAATGGTTTGTTTAAAATCAATTTTTATACAGACATGGTAGGGTGTCTCCTGGCTAGAAGCCTGCATATACATATACAAATTTTCAGTTTTGTCAATAATAATAATTTATTTATAATTCAATTCTTACAAGATTTGCAATAAGTCAACAGAATAAGTATTCTATTCTTAACTGTTGACAGGAAACAGTGTAACTTCATGATCTCATCCAATATGACACAAGAATTCGAGACCCCCACCTCGGGCATACCAGGGGTTAATTTGGTGTGTGAAATTCAGTGAAGTCCCCTGCAGCCAGGACAAAATGGCAAGGTAAATTTCTTCGGTCCTATCCTCCCCAGGTATTCAATTGGAATTTTTACTTGAAATTTCCCAAAGTATTCCTTTACTGTTCTATAAAAGCCTTTCCTAGCCGACTGCTTTATTTCAGCATTTATATAGCCGACTGCTTTATTTCAACATTTATACAAAAGACAGTGAATAAGAGGCGATTGTCCTTGCATTCCCCTCTGGTATGCCAAAGGTGCAGGGATTCAAATGACTGCATGGTGCAATTGAATATGTTTATAAGCTTATTCACTGTATTTAATTAACAGCTATTAAAATTATTCACTAATAATACAACTGAGAAAATTCAGAAATAGTAAAATACACCTATAATATTCTATATGCTATATTTATAAATTCCAATTGGCCATTTTAATATAGGCGGGTATTAAATAGGCCAAGTGATCAATACCAAAAGCATAATAATTAATAAAACACAATATATTACACCATTAAAACTTTACCATCCTAAATATATATTATTAAACATTTTATATTTACAGTGTGCTTAAAATTTTACAATTATACTTGAGGCACAATGTTTTAATAATAGACAACTTTATAACAAGAAAATGTTAAAATGAAGAAACTTTTTAATGGCTTCATAATTGACGTTTCTTCGATATTGTTGCTTACTTCTACTTTATAATTGTCCATTTTGTTATTTTTCACTCGGTTTGCAAATTATCTCCATTAATCCATAGAAAACAAGCAGTTTACGTTTGTATTTGTTCGTATTTCGAACGCGCACTCCTTGAAGGCAGCCATATTGCCGAATATAAACATCCACTTGATGAATAAACTTTTCATATTTCACTCTATTTCCAACGACCAATCAAATCGCTTCTGCTTCGGCTTGTCCCAGGGCTTACGGCAACGCAGGCAGCCGAGAAGCCCTGGGAACGAATGATTTACATGCAGTATGTTGGATTTTCACGATGCAAACAATCGACAATATTTTGAATATTTCCGGTATTAAGGATAGCTTTATTTCTTTCTGAATTCTAATGATATACATGAAGGCATTTATATTTAGATTTGCTGTTTAGTGTTCGATATAGAGGCATTGAAACCAATATGATTTCATGAATTTGCAGTTCTAATAAGCCCACTGATTGTCTTTATATTTATACAAGGAGTCAAGATGTACTTTTAGTTTATCTATTTGTATGGCGATGAGCCAAGGAGGCATTTATATTTAGATTTGCTGTTTAGTGTTCGATATAGAAGTATTGAAACCAATATGTTATATGTATATGATTTCATGAACTTGCAGTTCTAATAAGCCCATTGATTGTCTTTATATTTATACAAGGAGTCAAGATGTACTTTTAGTTTATTTATTTGTGTGGCGAATGGGGATGTGCCAAGGCTAGGGACCTTGCCATTGTAATATTCCCTGGTGCTGTAGAGGCTGTTGTGGAGTTATGGTGCACTGAAATGTGTGTATGACTTTGTGTATACAGTAGTGCGAGTAGATACAGGTTTATACAATCATTGTGTAATGTGCTTCACAGTTGTTTTGAACTTTGGAGATACCATCATGTTTCTCTGCTGTATTATGGTTGGGCATGGTAAAATTATAGATTGTTTGTTTTTTGGGGGGGGTCACCAGGGTTTGAGGAGTAATTGAGGGGGGATGAAAGTTTTAGTTTTGGCAATATTTGGAGGGGGTGAATAGGTTTTCGGATCGTCGGATTTCACAGAAAAAATTGTTCAGATTTCGGATCTGGCGAATATTTTACACAGATTTGCAGATCTTATTAATACAGTGGATTGCGGATTTATCTAATATTTTGTTCGGATCCTGGATTGTGACTTCATAGTAGAGCTTTTAGCGGATTCAAATTTAGACATGACCATTGTCGGATCGCAGATTTTGCTTCAAATTTGGGTGGATTTGTATACCCCTATTGACCCCCCCCCCATATTTTGACCTCTTTAACCCACTGAGTCGCATTGCACTCTGATGCACCCTACTTTAGTATTTTACTCTGTCTAACGCCAGACGATTTTACTCGTCAAGGGGAGAGCGCTGGCGCTTAATGGGTTAATTTAAATACAAGCAAAGTCTAATGTGCTTCACAGTTGTTTTGGACATTGGAGACACTGCCGTATTATGGAAATTCATTGGATAAATATGTATTAAGGGAGTGTCATTTTTTTATGGTTTGGGTGGGGTGGTGAAATCATAGGTTGTTTTTTGGGAGGGGGTTACCAGAGTTTGAGGAGTAATTGTGGGGGGG